TATATAGTGTTGGAAACAAAAACAACCAGTTTTTTATATAGTGATGGAAACAAAAACAACCAGTTTTTTATATAGTGATGGAAACAAAAACAACCAGTTTTTTATATAGTGTTGGAAACAAAAACAATAAGTTTATATAGTGTTAAAAGCCAAAACAACAGATGTTTATATGGTGTTAGGCTAAATAACAACCGGTTTTTATCTGTTGTTGACCGAATAACGGGATTTGACTATCGCTCTTATAACGCATCTAAAGTCCCAAAGTATGGAGTGTTTTTTTTTCGGCAACGGGCCACGAACCATGAATAGTGGTATTCACAGTTCGACCACGCAAACTATTAAGCGTAACTACGTCGGATTTTACGGACTTTATCAATATGGTAAAAACAGGCCAATTTTTGTTTTCTGCTTTCATCGTATTATATGATAGTATAAAAACTTTATCAAAGAAATCCAACTGCTTGTAGACTTGACGTGTATGTTAGGCCTCCTCCTATTAATTTTTATGCTGGAAAAAATCTGTTAAGAAATATAAAACCGTTAGTTAGTTAAAGAGTAGAACTGTCTAAAAACGCACTCCATATTGAGTGCAATTGAATTTTTCATACGAGAGAGTTTAGTCTTTGGGTGATAATATCAATTTTCTGATTTTGTTTTCAAAGCACCTAACGGCCACTGAAGCGATTAATGACACTATGCCGTTAGCTCCAAGCACAATCACATGCAAATCGTGAGCACTTTATCATTCGCGTGAATTTCTCATTTAAAATGACAAAATTCTTGTGAAAGGCGTGGTCTCTCTTGCCACAATGAACGTTGTAGTGTTCACAAATTACTTCTTTACATGATGCGAAATTTTCTTCCTTTTCATGTAACGTTTAATGTGTGGTTATAAATTACCTCCCTTACAAGCATACTTGGATTATATGATAACCTACAGCTAGCAAGACTAGATTAAAAACTGGAGAACAAAAACAGGATTCTTTCTAAAATTGGACCAAAGCGAAACTCGCACAAAATACAGGAATACATTTTAATATAACTCTCATTGTTTCTGTTATTTTAATCATTTGAGTTAGGCTTAAGTAATTAAAATGAATAATGCCAATAATATTCCAACATTAATCGGACTGGCTCGTTGTTACAGTGAGACAGACCAAATTTCACTATTACCCTGAGACCAAACATACAGACTTGATAAGATTTTGCACATGTAATAGATAGAGGTGGGGTGGATGATATGGTATTGTTTGTTGATGTTTATGCGGATATTTGACATTTTCAACATGAATCCTACGCTAAACATGGGCTAAATGGCCAGATCAGAAACCCTTAATGTTCAGGTATAATCATCACTAACTTGGGACTTGGTGATCACGGGAGGGGTAAGTAGTCAGTAGCACCCGTCGCCTATGCGGCTACTCTGAAGTGAATAGCGGATTTGACTGGCACAGTTATAGCCCATACAGCTCGAAATGTAAAACGTGTTCAGCGGCATATCGATCCTTGGATCTTCCCACACGTAGCCCGAAACGTTAATGAGTACACTACGCCCGGCTTATTTATATAGTGTGTCGGTAAATTAAATATTATGCATTTAATAATTATTACATAACCTATTTACCTTTATATGGCATCAACTGATGGGAAATATTACCCAACAAAGTATCGTAACATCACGTTATTTACATGTCAGGCTATAAAAGAAGTTATCAGACATAATTTGGAACACAGTGCTTATATATATACACACAAAAGAGATAACTCTTTTGAAGAAGGGAAATTCATGATTACCTATATAATAAGATTCAGTGTCTGTCTGTGTGTATGTCACGTAACTTCCTAAACCCGCTGGTCACACCGACTTATAGATAGCGCCAAACGAATCGTCTCGGCCCCGACGTTTGCACAAAAGTATTTTTTTTACCCAACCCCTTAGGGAACCCGAGTATTTCGCAAAAACACTTTTATAGGGATTACCCGAAAGCGCACCCCAAATTTGGCATTGATTTACATTAGAGAACGTAAATAAGTAGGCCTACTAATTAACTTTCGTTATTTGGTTAGATAAAATAAACTTGCATTATAGTGGCAATGATCATTAAACTAAAAAAGTGCAAAATAATAGTTCAAGCATTAAATTTGCATTATAACATCCCTGTATGTGTGAGCCATAGGGCCACGGGTTCGCTAGCAACATAAATAAAATTCAATGTGTGTCATGTTGCCAAAGCTTATCCTTTTGATCATAATGCGCAAGCGTATGACGTATACGAAACTTGAACATCCAATATTCTAATAACAAAAAAGACCTACAACCGTGACGAAGCGTATAACATTTCCTTAATTTCATTTTGGCCAAGTCGATAGATTAGATGGTTCTCACCCTGTTCTCTATACCGTCAGGACGAAAACAAGGATAGAACGTGGCGCATTATGGTGCCAAGTATGACAGAACCAATCGTAGAGTTTATTCTAATAGGCATGGGCGCCCACTCGTGTATGTACAGGACCAGTTTTTACAGTGTATGTCAACAGACTATAAGAATGTGTGTTACGTATGCTTAAACGCATACACAAATTTACATTTTTAATATAGATTGCTAAAAATATTTAGTTTAACTATGTTAACTATTTGCTATGTTAATTTACTTCATAATATGTGGAAATTTTTGTGAAATGTAGGGGGGTAAATGTCCCCTCCTGCGGGCGCCCATGCATATGGGTCTAGTGAGAGTTCTAACCAATCACAGAGTTTATTCTAATTGGTCTGGTGACACTTCTAATTATGGTGGGGTCTAGTGAGAGTTCTAACCAATCACAGAGTTTATTCTAATTGGTCTGGTGAAACTTCTAATTATGGTGGGGTCTAGTGAGAGTTCTAACCAATCACAGAGTTTATTCTAATTGGTCTGGTGAAACTTCTAATTATGGTGGGGTCTAGTGAGAGTTCTAACCAATCACAGAGTT